GTGTGTGTGTGTGTGTGTGTGGCCAGCTCAGCCCACCAGGGGGCGCAGCTGGCTGGCATGTGGTGCTGGGGGAATCGAACCACGGTCCATGTGCTTTATCAAGCTTGTTCCAAGTAGGTGCCTTAGACCACTGAGCCATCTCTCCAGCCCCTAAATTTATTTTAAATGAAGTAAAATATCTAAAACTTTACTAGTTTTAATTTTAATAAAACATATCAGTATAACCCACATATAAACTACTAACAGAGGTTTTTTTAATAATTAAGAATTTAAACAAAGGCTGGGGATATAGCTCAGTGGTACAGTGCCTGCCTTGCAAGTACAAGGTCCTGAGTTCAATTCCCAGTTTTTTTTTAAAAAAAATTTAAACAGAAATCTTGAGTCAAAGAGTTTGACAGTCGCTATTTTGAGATAAGTAGTTTTGTATTACTGACTAGGTCAGTGATGGTGAACCTTTTAGAAGTTTCAGTGATACAGATAACCTGCGGCATGCATGCCATAGGTTTACACCCACTGGACTGGGTGATTGGTTCCACATGTGATTTGCTTTATACTCATGTTATTGCTGAGAACGCCAGTAATTCATATTTTGTGCTGTTACTGTATATTATAGAATGTATAGCAGGCATACTTTGTGGAAAGTGAAATTCAGTGGCTGGATACAAGTTGTAAAGCAGTATCATCGGTATTATTTCTTAGCATAGCTTTGCTTTCTGTTTTACTTTGTCAGGTAGTTTCTAGGCTGCTTTCAGCTTTAGGCTCAGAATAAAAAGGACTCCCCTCCGCATAATCCACCACAGTTTTTCTGGAGTAGTATCATTGGTCTGGCTTGTGTTCTTTTCTATCTCTAGGATAATTATGTGGCTCTGGATAGTTAGGCTGAGAATTGTCCTATCTGTCCAGATGGGGAGATGCTTAATAGTTCAAAAGTAAGCATCTGATAAATGTCAGCATTCATTAACTGAAATTTATGAACTTTCACAAGAGCCTCACAGAACCATACTAATCCTGTTTAATTTTAGAGTATTTTAATGACTTTATCTGGCTTTGTAGTCCATGGATTTGTTGTTACATCTATGGCCTACAAGAAATGACAGCTTATGATTAATAGCAAAGCTAGAGGAAAAACCCAATAAAAAGATAAGATATGTCATTTACTGACTTGACCTCCTGTTAATGCTTATCATGATTTTAATACTGGTGTTGTATTGATGACCTTCAAATAGGTCTAACTTCTCTACTAAGCCCTTCCATCTCAGCTTAACTAGAACTAAATTTGTTCTATAATTCCCTTTAAAAACTTTTATTCTTCATCATTCATTTAACTTTGTTTAGGAAATTGGTCATCTGTTGACTATCTCCTTTTTTTACTCCTTGTTTAGTTGATTATAGAATTCAGTCTGTTGTATCTTACTGATTTCCCCCTTTATTTTGACTGCCCATGTCCCTAATATAGGCCTTTATCAATTTTGCCATTGTCTTTTGTTCTGTTTTTTTCCCCAAGTTCTCATCTGCTCATTGAATCTTTCTACTACAAATCTAATGCTATTATTTCTATTTTGTCATGTCTTTCTTAACATGAATCTACTCTAGGCAAAATACTTTTAATCATCTAACATTTTCCCCCCTGTCGATGGCCTTCAGCTTGACAAAGTGTTATTCACATATAGTGGTCATTAGTTTTGTTCCACCAGTATTCACTGGCTCTCCTCTGCCATGTGGTAAAGGTGCACTTCTTTATCTCATTCATCTTCCCCATACCCTTGAAATTAGGCAGGGACCAGAATAACTCAATTTTGGCATTATTGACGTTTTTGGCTGGGTAAAAATTTTTTGCTTTGAACACTGTCCTGTTTATTGCAAGATGTTTAGCAGTAGCATTGACCTGTACCCTGCAGATGTCCAGCATTATTGTGTTTACTACCTTGCCCTTCCAGTTGTGACTATCAAAAATGTCTAAGACATAGCCAGTGTTTGATCTATCCTGTTGTTTCCCCTGCAATTTAATGTATAGAGGAAGCCTTTTGACAGCCCAGTCACTAAGAATTGTTAGTAAACAGTACCATCAGTTGATTTGTGATGAATAAATAGCTTAACCAGAAAATAAATCTTCGTTTTAAGTATTATTTGACAGTTGGTTGTAACTGTAACCTATCCTATACCAGTGGTTGCAAACTTGTGGCATTAGTGCTGCAGTGGGCTCTTTGTATCATTGAAAGGTATAGAAGATACACCATCACCGGACCCTCAACTGAATGATACATTATGCCAAGACGTACCTTAACTTCACATGCACCTTCCTTTGTAATCCCAGATCCCCTTAATACCTAAATCACCTTAATACCTACATCTCTTAACATTTATTGCTTAGTGTGATAATGTTTGGATTTTCTAGATTTTTTTTCTTTTCTTTTTTTTTAAGATAGGCTTTTACTGATCTTCCAGGCTGGTCTTGAGCTGTAGGACTCAAGTGATTCCCCCTCCTCAGTCTGCAGAGTAGCTGTGACCACCACACTGCCAGAATCAGTAATCCTTAAATGGAGAAAGAATTGTACTTTAAAGGATGTTGTAGAAATTTGTGAGAAGAGCTTTGGGGTTGGGGCAAGGAATGTCTTTGTGCAAGAGATGGTGGAATCTTCTTGAATCCCACAAGACTTTAAAATATCTCAGAAATTTATGAAGGAGGAAAATACATAATTAGTCTAGAACCTAATTCCTTCCTTCCTTCCTATCTTTTTTCAATTTTCTAGAGATTTTACTTAATCTGGTTTCTTAACTGAAGTTCTTTTGTTTGGAACTTTATTAAAAAGAGTTCACCATTTGAGAAAATCCATGTCACCAACATGCCATTGTGCTGTTGGAGCTGCCTAGGCAACATACTTGTAGTTGTAGCTCTGAATTTATAGTATCGTATTTATAATTCTACATAACAGTGTAAATGTAAATTTTTTTTTCCAGTGGTGGTGGTGGGGATTGAATACTAAGGTGCCTGGTTCCATATGAATACTAAGCATGTGCTCTACCACTGAGCTATAGTCCTAACTCCTTTCTTTTTGGTTTTGTTGAGACAGAGTCTTCCTGTACAGTTTAGGCTGGTCTTAAACTTGCAGTGATCTTCCTGCCTCAGCCTCCCAAGTACTGGGATTACAGGTGTGCATTACTATGCTGTGCTTCCCCTGACTTCTTTATTATGCATTCTAAATTGGTATGCCTGGTCATTTATACATTGAAATTTGCACTTTATAATAGACTAATTTCTTTCTCTTTGATCTTAGGTATTGTTACATTTTTAAAAATGTGTAAGTTGGGATTTTGTTTCAGGATAGCTAGGGAGGTGCTATAAATTATTTGCTCTGAGTTACAAAAAGGGATGTTTGATCTGATAAATTGAGTACCATTTTCTGATTGTATGCTTATTTGTCTTTGTGTGTATTATTCTGCATACGATATAGTGTTTGTTGAGCTAGCCAATTTGTGGTTTCTAGACTTTTATGTACACTGTTGCATTTGATTACTACTCTAAGCCTATAAAATTAGCAGGGCAGATACCTTTCCCATTTTATACATGAGACAATTGAGAGAAATATTAACATGTCTCACCATGCTTCTGGAGCTCTAGTAAGAACATATAATTTTATTTATATGTGCCTATAACTGCCATATTTTTGCAATCCAGAGCTGTCTAGTGCAGAAATATGTCTGTATGTCTTTGTTGGTATTATTTTTATGTAAGGAACTTTAAATTATGTTTTAGCACTAATGGTCATAGGACTATAACTATGAGTAAACTGTATTCAAGAAAGTAAGGAGATTACTGTGTCCAGAGAAATTTGGGATTAAACAACCTGTAAAATAATAAGAACCTCCCCCCACCCCCATAGCTAAATTTTAGTGATGATGACAGTTGAGTTTTGGGTGAAATACTCATAAAATTTTTTTTTTTTTTTCTGTATTTTAGGGAAGGGCCTACAAGGGCGTTCAGGGTCTAACTACTAGATTGTATTTCTAGTGATCTGCCTCCCAAGTGCTGGGATTACAAGTGTGCGCCACCATGCTCAGTCTCTTGCTGTCTCATTGCGCCCCAGAGGTGGGGGGGCGGCACAGTAGGCCCCTGCGCCTGCTTGCAGGTGCTTTAATCTGCCAAGCTATTTGACTGGGCCTTCAAACTCTAAATGTCATAATTTAGTACAAAGTTTTTGGAACATGATATCACAAAATGAGTTCGATAAAAATATTTGCAGGGCCAGAGATGGAGCTCAATGGTGGAGCACTTGCCTACATGCACAGGGCCCTGTGTTTATTTTCAATACTGCTTTTAAAAAAATTAAAATTGATATAACAAAATGTAAGGCAGTGACAGAAATAAAAAAAAATACAGAAAAAAAAAAGTTTTATGAGTATTTCACCCAAAACTCAACTGTCATCATCACTAAAATTTAGCTATGGGGGTGGGGGGAGGTTCTTATTATCTTACAGTATATGGTATATGTGAGGAACTGTGATGCTAGGGATTTCTGTGATGAGAATGTTGCTGTTTGCTTGAACCTCTAGCTTTTTATTACTGTTTTTGTTTTGAATGTTGAGGGTTTTTTGCTGTTTTCTTCAACTTCAAGATTTTTGAAACATATACTTTAAAAAACCATTTATTTATTCATTTATTTGGTTTAGGGTCTTACTATGCAGCTTGGATTTGTAGTGATCCTCCTGTCTGAGCCTCCCAGCACTGGGATTACAGGTGTGCACCACCATGCCTGGTTTTGGTGGCAGCACAGCATATGGTACCAGGGATTGAACCGTGGTCTTTGCACTTGCCAGGCAGGTGCTTAGACTGCCAAGCTATCTCCCCAGCTCTTGAAACAAATACTTAATCAAGTAACCAGTGTGCTCAGTTCTAAGAGAGATGTGTTTTAAATTTGATGGATGAGGGTCAGATTTAAATTGAAGGCATGTTTGTTTGACATGCATATGGTTTTTCCTTCTTTTTTTTTTTGTGTGTGTTACTTTGGCTTTCTCTACCTCTTTCTTTTCCTGCAAATAAATCGTCAGTACTTAAAAGTAATTTATCACATGTCCATGGAATTTTTTATTTCTCCTTTTAAGCTGAGCAAGTATTAGCAGTGGGCTAGCACATTCAGATGCCACTTCTATAAGTGAGTAGTAGCTACCCACTTTAGAAAGGCATACAATTGTATTTCTGAAAACACCTAGCATTTTTTATTTATGTGATTACTTGCCTTCCATATGCCTGTAAATTATGAGTTCTGAATCACTGCTTTACTTCTGTCACTGCCTTACATTTTGTTATATCAATTTTAATAAGGTAAAATGCAGAAAATGCATATTTTAGGACAGTCTCTTTTTTAAAACTATTTAAATATTCTAGCGTTTAGACAGTGCTTTACTGAAAACTATGTGCCATGCACTTTGTACTTTCTCATTTGGGGGTCTACATATCTTCATTAATTCCAGATTCAGGGTTTAGGTAACTTCATTTAGCTGACTGCTTACTGTAAAAGCTGGAATTCTAATCTCTGTCTCTGACTAAATCCTTGATTATCTGCAAAGTGTAGCTTCAACATATAGTTACTGAATGTAATCATGTAATAAGAGTTGAAAGACACAGAAAAAATTGCTTCTCTATGTGAGGCTTATCATTAGATGAGGAAACAAGTGCTTAAGAGATCACATTAGAGGGAAGTAAGTGTTAAAAACCAAGAGGCTGATATATATGCCCTTCCCCCATATATGTTCTAAGAGTGCTGAGAACTAACAGTGGCAGGGAAAACAGAAAGAATGTGACAGATGTAACCATGGTAAAGATTATACTTTAGGGTTACTACTATACTTGGTAAGACTTGATGAGTGTGCCTTTGTACTTAAGAGAAGGCCTAACTTTGATGCTTTGGGGATGTCAAAAACAAAATATTTTAATTCACTCATTTTAAATTCTGAGTGTCGCTTGACTACAGTGGTTTCATCATCTCACAAAAAAATGAATTTTCTTTGTGAAATATATTCTCATTATGTGTATTTCTCTCCTTCTTTCTCTTTAGGTTATCTTGAAAACCAGATGTCTAACAATTTTCCTTCCTACATTAGTGTTGTTTTTCACTGCCTCCAAGAAGATCAAAATTGCTCCAGAAATTGGAGACACACTTGATTTAAAAGGAAAAACTTGAACAAATGGACAGTATGTCTATTACAAATACACCAACAAGTAATGATGCCTGCCTGAGCATTGTACATAGTTTGATGTGCCATAGACAAGGTGGAGAAAGTGAAACATTTGCAAAAAGAGCAATTGAAAGTTTGGTAAAGAAGCTAAAGGAGAAAAAAGATGAATTGGATTCTTTAATAACAGCTATAACTACAAATGGAGCTCATCCTAGCAAATGTGTTACCATACAGAGAACATTGGATGGAAGGCTTCAAGTGAGTGGTTGTGTTTTATGTTATTTGTTTTGTTTTGAATGCTGAGGATTGAACTCAGGGTCTCATGAATGCTAGGGATCTGCTGTGCCACTGAGTATATCCCTAGCCCTTAGGTTATTGCTTGAAGAAACTTACAGAAATCTTGTTTTGTTAGATTTAAAAAGTTTATTTCTAGATTTTGGGCATAGTTTCCATAACAAATTCATACTGTTTGCATTTTAAAAGCCCGAGTACAGGCCTTGTAATTATACCTCAGTTTAAATTGTAGCTCTATGATAATGGCCAAGTTAGTTATTTTGAGCTTTAATTTTCTTGTTTATAAAATGAGATTATGGTTTTCTGAATGGAGGGGGGGAAAGCCCCTCAAACTCAAGTTTTTTTTTTTCCCTAGTATACGCTTATGCCACATATTACTTCTCTGGCCCAAAAGTTGTGAATATTTCTGCATACCTATAAGAAGGAATTTTGCAAGAGACACCAAGTAGGTGTCCTCAGTTTCAATTCAGTTCTGACACTGTCTACTTGAAAATAGTGGTGGATCTCACACACTGGGGGTTCAGTTTCCAAGAGTGTCTCCCAGTGTCTCTTTTTAAATACCAGCAGCTATAAATTCAGTTCTTTTATTCACTCTGAGTTTGATTAATTTGATCTTGCTGCTCACAGAACTCAAGTGTGTTTACCAGTTTATTATGAAGGATATTACAAGGGATATAGATGGAGAGATACATAGGGTGAGGTAAGCTTCCACACCTCTCTCCAGGAACCTCCACCTGTTCAGCTGTCCTGGAAATTTCCCAACTCTACTTGTTGGGGTTTTTATGGAGGCTCCCTTATATAAACATGGTTGATACAATCATTGTCCAGTGGTGTTCAACTCTAATGTATAGCCTTATTTGGCTCCCTGGAGGTTGGGAAGTGAATCCTGTCTTGGTATTTTCTATGACTGTCTCCCTGTCCTGAATCTTCCTAAGGGCTGCCAGTCAATCACCAGTCAACTCATTAGCATGTAGCATGGCAGATTCCAAGATTTTAGAAGTTATATGCCATGAAATGAGGACAAAACCAAATGCGTATTTCACAGTATCGCAAAAACTGACTCTGCAGGATTGAGAACATATATATATAAGTCCCCTTTATAGTGTCTGACATACTACTGCTGCTTAATAAATAGTGGTTTATTTTTCCCAGGTGGCTGGTCGGAAAGGATTTCCTCATGTGATTTATGCCCGACTGTGGAGGTGGCCTGATCTTCACAAAAATGAACTGAAGCATGTTAAATATTGTCAGTATGCATTTGATTTAAAATGTGATAGTGTTTGTGTGAATCCATATCACTATGAACGAGTTGTGTCACCTGGAATTGGTAAGTAGACTGCATGTATCCTTGGATCTATAAAGGGAAAAGACTGAGTAGTATTTTAACTTTCCTAAATTTAATTATATATTTAAAGATTACCTAGGACTTTAAAGTTAAAGAATCAGACATTTTTTAATGAATATAAGGGTTTAAATCTGAATTTAGGAAATAACATTTATTTTAACTGCTAAAACTAAGTATATATAATTGACATTTTGCCCACTTTGTAACACTGTTACTGAAAAATAAGATAAGTATTATAGATTTCAGTACTTAAGTTTACATATGTTCGAAGTTATGCTACTTCTGAAGTAAAATGGTTTTATAATCTCTGCCTTAAATTTATATTCTATTACTTAAAATATAATGAAAGATATGTTTATGGTAATGACTAATGCTTCTTTTTTTCTCCCCCTTTAAAAAATTAAGATCTCTCAGGATTAACACTGCAAAGTAATGGTAGGTAAAATGTTTCTTGTAACTTTCTTTTATACTGAGCCTTCTAATTTTATTTATTCATTCATTCATTCACATTGAAGTAGTGGAAGTAGGTATAGGTAACAACAAGAAAACTACTTTGGAAGTATAGATTATTTTGAGGGTATTCATCAGCATTTAAAACTATTTAAATCAACTATTAGCTGTTTGGATTTGAATTGATACTATTGAAGATTTCTAAAAAAATGAAACATACCAAAAACACTAGTACAATACTTATTTTAAATTTTAATTTTTTTAAAGGCCAACCTGATAGCTCAGTGGACTAAAGTGCCTGTTTAGGCAGAGTGCAGTGGCCCCCAGCCTGCTGTGCTGGCCCTGCCCACAGGGTGCACTGAGATGGCAACTGAGACTGGGCATGATGGCCTGTTCCTGTAATCCTAGTGCTTGGGAGGCTGAAGACAGGAGGATCACTACAAGTCTGATCTATGTAGTGAGACCCTGTAGACCCTGTCCTAAATATAGAAAAAGAAATTTTTTTTTACATTAATGATAACTATTTTGGAAGAAAATCTTACAGAGTCAATTTAAGTGGTTATAAGTACCTGCTATGTATAACATGACCTGGAAAAATGCCAGCAGTCTTCATTTAGCCCTTACTTTTTTTTTTTTTTTTTTTTTTGCGGGGGTGGTGGTAGCTGAGATTGAACCAAGGGCCTTATACATGCCAGGCCTGCCTCTTACCACTGAACTATAGCCCCTTGATGATTTTTATTAATGATAATATTGAGAATGTTTTAAAATTACAAGTATTAATGTTTTTCCAATTTTTGTTGTCTTTTAAATAAAACAAGGTTTGCTTTTTAAAAGTATGTACTGACCATAGCTGATCTAATTCTATTTTATTTTTTTTTCAAAGTTTTATTGATAAACAGATAGCAATGAGACAATTTCAAATCAAATCGGAAGTACAGTTTCAACAAATAATACACTGCATATATTCTTCTTAGTGGTTAATTGCTGTACCTAATTCTATTTTAAGAAGGAAAAAATGTCTCAAGGTGAGAAAATGGAGTTCTATGAAATCTTCAGCTCCATTACTTAGATCTTGTTAAAGAAATAAAATCTTATAGGAACTAATCTTTAGGAAAGTTCTGATAGTCACACTCACTTGTCTTACCATACAAAGGTATGTGCTGTTCTGGAGGTATTAGTAGCTTGTCAACCTCTTTCTTCAGAGATTTTTAGAGGTGGACTTGAAATATCTTGTGATTTTAAAATTTAAGAATACCCTGAAACGTATTTATTTTTATTCTCCATTTTCCTTCCATCCCCAGTAATGAAGACTGTAGTGCCTTGTGGTACGTCATTATTATATTATACATAGATTTTAGAGAAGTGCAGGTTGGTTTCTTGAAGCCTGCCTCTTTGCCACGTAGACATTGGTATTTTGTCATTTCTTTGAAAGTAAATATTCTTCAGATATTCATTTATTCATTCTCCATCCCTGTTTTGGAAGAAATAAAACATACAACTTAGTGAATATAAGGGGTTAAGCTGCAGATATAATACCTTACAGGTGTATTTGCAAGGGGGTCCAAATTTTGAAGGTTCCTTGCCCTTCTCTCTGTCCTAAAATGATTGCTGTTCTAAGTACTTGTTATTGATGGGATTGAGGATAACTTCTGTTTAGGAGCTCTAGTGGTGGTTGTATAAAGGCAGCCTTGAATGGGTTATTTCCTTAGAAAACTTATTTCTCAGGTCCTTTCAGATTTGGACAAGGCCAGGTAACTAAAAGTAAAGAAAATGGAATAGTTGTTTCAGTTGTGAGTGTTGGGGTCTTGTGGTAATCATTTCTAGCCTATCATCTTTTTCTTTGAACTTTCCATGACCACACTGACCTGTGTATTTATTTTATAAATATTTAATGAGCATGTATTATGTGGTACTGTGTTAGGTTCTAGTGATACTAAGATAAAAAAATGTTTTTTCTACTCAGAGTTTGTAGTGTGGTGGGAGAAGATAAAGTAAGAGAGCAATGATACCATCAGACAAGTGCTGTGGCCTGCCTGCTAGTAGTAATAACATAGACTTAGGGTAAACCCAGTAACTTCAGCCTTTTTTTGTCAACTGTAGAGCATGCATCCTTTATCCCTCACAGAACATTTACAATCACTGTGCTAAAAGATGTTTAGAGGGCTGGTGAAATAGCTTAGTGGTTCAAAATCTCCTGCTTAGGCAGGTGCAGGGACAGTGGTTAATCCCCTGTACCACATGGTGCGCCAGCCCCGCCCCCAGGACAGGCTGAGCCAGCCACAGGGGGGGAAATGTTTAGATAATAAAGGCTAACACTGAAAATTCATTATGAGTTAGGTACTGAGCTCGATTATTTATGTCTATAATGTCAAAATTCTCATAATGATTGTACATGGTAAGTTGGATTATCCACACTTTTATCAGATAAAGAAACTGGTATGGAGAGATCAAGTAACTTGCTGAGCATTAGGACAGCTAGGGGGAGCTGAAATAATGTTATTGTTAACTATTTAAACAACAGGAAAATTACAAAAGACTTAAGTTCCATGAAGTCAGAGATACTTGTTTTGTTATTGGTATATCCCAAATGATAGAACAGTATCTGGAACGTAGGTGTTCAATAAATATTTTTTAAATGAATGAATTTGTTAAGAATGCTAGCCCATAAGAGAAATACTTAACAGTTTGGTGTCTGTTTTTTTTTTTTTTAGACTTTAAAAAATATATACTATATGTTTTTTTAATTTTATTTTTTTGAATAGGCAATACATGGTCCATAAATCACAATACTATAAAAAAGTATACAGTGAAAAGAAGTGCTCCCACCCTTGCCCCCATTCCCCCCTACTTCAGGTAATCACTTTTATTAGTTTCTGGTATTTCCTTCCAGGGTTTCTTTATTCAAAAGATACATATATGGTTTCCCTCCATATTGTGCACACTGTTCTGGACCTTGAGTTTTTACAATATATGATTTTTTTTTTTAAAGCATGCATATGACCAGTGTATCATAATATTCTGTAACTTTTTCCTTTTGGCAAAAATATGTTGCAGACTTCTATCCTTGTTGATACCTTCAGTTTTATCTAATAAACTTATATTTTAGACTATTTTATTAAAAAATACAGACTAGATGTTCCAAGTTTCCATTTGGAAAAATTTGCTGATATATTAAAGCAATAAAAGTGTCTGAGACTATTTAAATTAGGAAATAGTTGGTATTGTAGAAGTTTATGATTGCCTACTAGGTCCTTCTGGAGTCAACTGAAAGGCAGAAGGAATAAGTATCAAGTTGGCCAGTTGTATTCTCAAACCGTTATCCTTATATATTAGCAATACCAATATATTGGTGGAAAGATCTCAGTGACTATAACAATAAATACCCTAGAATGTCTTGGATTTAAAAGAACGATGTCAGGATTTATAATGAAAAATATCTCAGAACTTTGTTGAAGAGTATATTAAAAACTGATTAAGTGCAGACAGACTTAGTTTATGCCTGAAGCAACCTTTTCTTTTTATTATTTTTGTAATTTAGCTAGTACTAATGATGAGTGATTAGGACTACTTTTTGGCCCATATATAATGATGTATTAAGCATCCTTTTTGATGATCTTTTTATTTCTATAGCATTTTCTAAAGAAAAACTTTGGAGTGGAATTTGATGCATGAGAAAAAATTTAAGAGACTGCTTTGAAACTTGACTGATGGGTTATTCTTGCTGCTTTAGAGTTGTCTCAATTTAGTAAAAAATAGCCGGGTAACTAATTTATACTTATGTGTGATAGATTTTTTTTTCCTCTGAAGACATACCTAGGGAAAAACAAGGGAAGCCATTGTTTCTTTTCTTTTTTTGTGCCCTCGCCTTGTCTCGCCTCACCTCGCCTCGCCTCGCCTCGCCTC